AAAAAATGCAGATGAGCTGAAGGCCACTGTCAAAGAAACCTGGGCTTCCATACCACCTCAGCAGTGCCACAGACTGATCACCTCAATGCCATGCCGAATTGAGGCAGTAATTAAAGCAAAAGGAGCCCCTACCAAGTATTGAGTACATATACAGTAAATGAACATACTTTCCAGAAGGCCAGCAATTCACTAAAAATGTTTTCTTATAGGTCTTATGAGGTATTCTAATTTATTGACATGGTGATTTGGTGGGTTTTTGTTAAATGTGAGCAAAATCATCACAATTAAAAGACCCAACAGTTTAAACTACTTCAGTCCGTGTGCACTGAATTTATACAATACACAAGTTTCACTATTTGAGTTGAGTTACTGAAATAAATGTACTTTTCCACAATATTCTAATTTATTGAGGTGCACCTGTATAAGGTGAATTCAAGTAAAATGGGCCACTATTTGGAAGCTTGTTAGTATTGACTTTGCAAATTATTATAATTAGCAAAGTTAGTAATATGACAATCACACAGTGTCCAGGGTGTGTCTCAGACCTTTGTTAACATAAGGGGGGGCAAAGTTGATGCACCTCAACTGCACTGTGTTTAGTGCTAATTCTGGCATAGTATAAGATGGTGAGTGTAGTAAACATTATACCTGCAAAATGTCAGCATGCTTCCATGGTCACTGTGAGCATGATAGCATGCTGAAAATACAACTATACCTAAGTATAGCCTCACAGAGATACTACCATGGCTATACACTCAGGCTTGGTTGCTACTGATCCCAATATTAAACTATTTAATATTATGAGAAAACAGCTGAAATTAGAGCTCTCTCATACATCCAGAACTGAAAAGGTCCTGACCGAGTGTCAGGTTTTGAGTCAACTTCTGTAAGTTGTGTTACATAATGCTCTGTGTTCAGGATCATTGTTTTCAAATATACTTTTTTTACAAAAAATTCTTATTTTGTCTGACTGCACCAGTCATTTGCATCCATACCTTCAAGGTTCAAAAATTTTATTTGCCATTTATGCATAAACAGACAGTCTAGGCCAGGGGTGGCCAATTCCTGTCCTCAAGGGCCACTGTGTTCAGTCAGTCAGAAGCTGGAAGATACCATCTTAGATGAAAGTGGACTGAGGAAAGATAAAGTGAGTTGGTATCTTCCAGCTTCTGACTGACTGAACACACCCGAGCCAGGTAATCAGCAGCAGATCAGGCAGGGATAGTTGGAAAACAAGCAGGACAGCGGCCCTCGAGGACTGGAATTTGCCACCCCTGGTCTAGGCATATAGGAATTCTTGTGCAGGGCTCTCTTGGAGTCAAGTAAAGAGTCAAAAGCCAGAAAAAGAACACCTAGTCTAAAAATAAAGTTACATAAGACTCATTCCCCCCTTGATGAGGCCCAGGATGGTGGTGTCATCGACATATTTAACGATGATGGTGTTGTCATGGTTGGAGACACATATTGGTGGGTTTACAGGGTGGATTTACACCTGCCCTCCCATTTTTACCACCTGTGGTCTTTTAGTCAGGAAGTCCAAAATCCAGTTACACCGAGGTCTGTCATCTTCTCAATCAGCCTGCCCAGGCGAATGGTGTTGAATGCAGAACTGTAGTCCAAGAAGAGCATCCTACCATACTGTATGTTCTGCTGCTGTCCTGGTGTTTCAGGGTATGGAATAAAGCCAGAGCCACCGCATCATCCACTGATCCTTTTGGTCATAAGGCAAAGTGAAGGGTCTACAGTGTCTGGGACCATGTGGTTAATGTGTGTGAGGACCAGTTTCTCTAAGCACTTCATGGTGACTAATGTGAGCGCCACTGGCCTGAAGTCATTCAGAGTGGATGTGTCTGACTTCTTAGGGACCAGTATGATGATGGATTTTTTTTTAAATGCGAGGGACTACTACATGGTGCAAGATAGGCAGCCAATGCCCAGTTCCAATAGCTAGTAAGCGTTAAATAAAAGAGATATCATGTGTTAATTATTGAGTGTTACAGGTGATGGTAGGTGAAATAAGTTGTTTTTGGTCCAAGCCAGGCTAGTTGTTTCCAGGCTTTACACTACACTAAGCTAAGCTGCCTCTGGCTATTGCTTCACCATACAAACATGAGAATGGTATCAATCTTTTTATTTCATTTTCTGCAAGAATATACGTATATTTTTCACGAAATGTATTCTTTTAAATACTGCATGTATGTGCAGGCTGTTTCTGGGTTTCAGTTTTAGCCCTGGGCAGCATGGTAGAGCAGTGATTATCGCTGTCACCTCACAGCAATAAGGTGCCTTTCTGTACGAACTTTACATGTTTTCCCTGTGCCTGTTCTCTCCGGGTACCCCGGCTTCCTCCCACAGTCCAAAGACATGCAGCTTACGTTGACTGGCGACTCTAAACTGCCCATAGGAGTGATAGTGGGTGTGGTGGATTGTCTGTCTCTAAGTGTTATCTCTGTGATAGACTTGTGACCTGTCCAGGGTGTATCCCACCTCTCACCAAATATCAGCATGGATAGGCTCCAGCCCCCTGTGACTCTCATTAGGATGAGTGATATAGATAATGTATGGATGGATAGTTTTAGGCTTCTGCAGAGCTCCAGTATGAAATAAGGTGTGGGAGAATTTTCCCAGGACTGTGAGGGTCCAGTTCTCACCCACACAGTTCTCTATCTGCAGTCAAAAATCACTCAAAGTCTAAACAGTCTGTTGCAAAGTATAAGATTTATTGGGGAAAAAAATCAAAAACACCCCTGTTTCCTCTCCATGGAGCGGAACAACTACAGAGCTTGAGACATCCCTTTTATACTCTCTATAGCTCCTCCTGGGACAATTGCTTCATTCCACCTTTCTCTCTGATCTACTTAGGATTATACTATTATTTCATTGGTCAAGATAACCTGATATGGCAAATGTGAGTCATGCTGACTCCTTCAGGGGTTTTGACTAGGTTACATAATTGACATTACTAATGAGCAAACAATACCATCTTGACGCATATCTCTGATTAATGATACCTCCAGACACCTCCAGATACTGTATCATAAACATGTCAAAAACATCATTAACGTGACAAAAAGTGACATGCAACACATCAATATGTCATACAAACATGTTCAATCCATCAAAAGGTGACACACTGCCACGGGATGACATCTAGACATCGTGAATTTGGTGCCACCATGACATGCAGGAGTCCACAGACGACACATTGAGATCACCAGGCAGATTAATGACCTTTGTACTGTCAGTTGTTAGACAAATAATCAAATGAATAATTCTTACAACAACATTAAAGTTCTTAAAAACATTAAACAATAAAAACATTAAAAGGCTCTTTCTGTCTCTCCCTCTCTGAAGTGCAACAGGTGTCCCCGTGTCTCCAACCAGTCTGGGCAGCCATCCAAGTAACAGACTGATAAGTTTTTTTCTCTCTTGCCTGCTTTAAAGTGCCAATGGCATGCAAGTTTTTCTCATTTCCAACTATTTAATGTTTAATCTTGGGTATCTCTAGATTAGCTTTGCACCCATCATAACTCGAAATAGTCTGTAATTATTTCAGAACAATAAAACCAGAGAACCTCCTCCTAAAAATGAGAGGATAGTTCGTGAATGTGCACACCTCCTACTGCCGGTGTTGTGTCGAAAGTGGACAGCACAACAAACCACAATGGCTGATAGGTAAACAACATTATATGTACCGATGAAAACAGATTTT